CCTTTGGGGGTCAATCGACCCTTTCATAGGGGTCGCACGATTCATAACAGTAGCAAAATGACAGTTATGAAGTAGCAACAAAAATAATTTTATGGTTGGGGGGTCACCACAACATGAGGTATGAAAGGGTCGCGGCATTAGGAAGGTTAAGGACCACTGACTTAGAGTGATGGGCATTTAAGATAAACATGTCAAATTCAACCGGGCCAAATGATCTAGGAAGAAAGTGAGCAAGTTGTCAAAGAGCCAATGCCCCAAACCAAGCACAAGCCTAGATGGTTTCATAAGGGAATTCTGCCAAAGGTCAGCGAACAGATAGATAACTCCAGTGCTATTTAAAACTTGGGGGGGTGGGAGGGTGGAGATCAAATGATTTTTTACAAAGCCATGAGAACACTGATATCGAGATATGGCAAAGGTAATACCCCAACCTTAAAAATTGAAGAACAAAATCAGATACAGACCAATTAATATTTATTAATAACATTGATACTTTTCATTTAGAATTTGTATAAATAGCTCTTACCAGTACATTAAAATAAAATGATGCCATCTAAGCCCAGAAATGCAAGTATTTAAAAAATGTCTATTAATTTACTAAGTCACTGAAAAAAATATGAATGGCCATCTCAGAAGATGTTAAAAATGCAGCTGACTGACAGACATTAACTACTAATTTTAAAGGCTCTTAGAAAAACAGAATTAAAATGTATGCAACGTCAAACGAATGCATCATATTTAAAGAAGAAATCTCATTAAAGTCAGAAACAAGACAAGTATATTCTTAGCTCCCAATGAACTAGTCTGAAAATGAGACGGAAAGCAGCAAAATGACTTGCAAGTGACGTAACTGTAGAGCCAGAAAAGCCACAGGAATCAGCGAAGAAGCCATTGGAAACACTAAGAGAATTCAGTACGCTAAATGGTTACAAAGTTGGTGCACACGCCACACACAAATCTATTGCTATGTGTTTATGGACCATTCAAAACCGATTCAAAATTATGATGGAAAACTTCCTACTGACAGTATCTCCCACAAACACACCTACCTAGCTATTTCTCGCTCTCGCTCTCGCTCTCTCACAGACACATACCCACAACCATGAGAACAAATCTAACAAAAGCTGTTCAGAATCTTTAGGAGAAAAACGTTACATTACTGAAGAACATAAGGAATTAAACATGGGAACAGACATGCTTTTATTGGTTAGTACTCCCATAACAAAGACGAACTAGAAAAAATGACACTCAAGTTAATCCATTAAATTAGAAAACCAGGAAAAATCTGAAGTGATTCCAAGGGGACTAGGTCCCAACTTTGAGACCACCGCCCACCCCCAACCCCCAGCAAGTTTAGTCTGCCTGTGCCCACGAACTAGAAAAAAATGACACTCAAGTTAATCCATTAAATTAGAAAACCAGGAAAAATCTGAAGTGATTCCAAGGGGACTAGGTCCCAACTTTGAGACACGCCCCCCCCCAGCAAGTTTAGTCTGCCTGCGCCCGCAGGGTGGCCACAAATTGGAATTACCTTGGCATCAACTAAAAAATGTTATAAGAAAATGTATGCAAAAACTACAATAATTAAAACAATTTGGTATTTGCACACACCTAGAAAGATAATAGACCAGAAATAAATATATATAGGACTTTTGTCTATCATAAAGGTGACAATTGAAAGGTGGCATTTCAAATAATTAGAGGAATTTATTGAGATTACACACACACACACACATCAGGCCCATGGAAAAGTCCTGGGCAGAATGGGAGAAAAGTACAGAACAAAATCCTAAATCACACACACACACACACATACACACATACACACACACACACACACACAATGCCAGCCTTACTGGTCTGATAGAGATTGGCAGAGCCCCCAAGTCTATGGCCTCTAAACACCCTTCAAACCTGGAACTGAACCCAGGCCCAGGGATAGATAACCTTGCAACCAAACAGATAGGCCTACCAAGAACAGTGATCCTCATGAAGCACATACTCCTCACAACAATCAGTCTGAGGAGACCACAAAGGCAGCACTTGCTCAAAATCAAAGTTCAAAAGGCAGACAGCGGGAGGAAAGAAGGACGACTCAGAACAGAGACCCCAGGGAGGAAATGGGAAGAATGATGTTACGTTGCGGGAACTGCATCCAAGGGCACCAAACAAAGTGTATATAAATCATCGAATGGAAAACGAATTTGCTCTGTAAACTTTCACCCGAACCGCAATTCACTGGAACAGCTGGAATACTGACTTAACTAACCTCGGAACCACTTTTTTGCATCTGAATCAACAAATCCTTCATTTTTAGAAACTATTTTGAGTTGCTCCTTCTGTTTGTTAAAGCAGAAGGCGTGTTAACACACACTTAGACCTTATACAATTGTTTCAGTACTGTTTATAAAGCAACCTGCAGGCATATAAAAGGGCATCAGCAGGGGCTGCCTGATAGCCCCTGATAGAGCTTCCCGGTACCCAGTGCTGTCTTGGTCAGTGCTTAGTGACTGGGGACAGGGATACTACTTGCAGTGTTGGTCAATCCCCTTGATGCAAATATTCTCACCAAGTCAATGTTAATGATAGCTCTGTTTAAGAATGAGTTCACTACATTTTCAGGAATTCAAAAACCTGCTCTCATGAACCAATACAATCCAGCCCCAGCCACAATACTTCAACGATGGTCATGGTGACGTATACTGAGTGTTGATAAGGGACAATTTCCTAGAAGCATTTAAGTCAAAACTTAAGTATTTCTAATCAACTTCCACTGTGTACAAACCACTGCTGAAATCCACACGATATGTCTAAAAGCATTTCTACAGATGTGCAGAAACTGTCACTAAACAAAATTATTAAAATGTGAACCTACTGTTTAACATATCCCCCCATCTATGTCTATGTATTTCCGAAGACAATTTCCCACTCTTGCTAACCCTTCCCCAAGTAATTCTGTGCTCTTCAATTCACACCACATCAGAGGACGCAAATCATGTCCCTTTTAGATGTTCTCTGAGTTCTGAGACAAAAAGAAGTCTAAAGGGGCAAGCTCGGGGCTGGAGAATCAATGAGGTAGTCTCCCCAGGACATGCTCGCAGGGCAGCCCTTGATGCCACTCAAAGAATGAAGACTTGCCCTGTCGTGATGAAAGACACAACTTGCCTGGTCTCTTTTTCATTAGAGAAGTTTCCCATTTTCTTAAAACTTCTCCCAAACAAGCCCCCATGAGTGTCTGTGTTTTCAGAATATCTATCAAGATGGCCCTTTTGGAATCTCAAAACAGCCACCATCAGCTTTTGAGAGCTGACCTCCCTCTCTACCTTGAATTCAAATGGCCCAGAACAGCAGTTCTCAACCTGTGAGTCGCAACCCCTTTGGGGGTGGAATGAGCCTTTCACATGGGTCACCCGATTCATAACGGTAGCAAAATGACAGTGACGAAGTAGCAACGAAAATAATTTTATGGTTGGGGGGATCACCACAACATAAGGAACTGTATTAAAGGGTTGCGGCATTAGGAAGGTTGAGAACCACTGGCCCAGAAGATCCCCTTGCAAGCCCTCTTTTGATTGGACCTATTGGACCTTCATAGGAAGGCACCCTGACAAGACTAAGACAAGTGTAGTACTGAGAGAACAAGTCTGCAGCTGGCCACTGGTCGCGGAGACACTTTCAAACAGGTTTTGTTTGACAGAGAGGGAAAGTTTGTGAAACCAGGAACCCAAGGCAGTCAGCCCCCACTCAGGTTCTGGCTCTGACAGGTTTCACTTTGTCCTTCTCCTTTTTAGATAGTATACGTCCACCATTTTTTCTGTTGTTTTGGTTTTGTGTGTGTGTGTGTGTGTGTGTGTGTGTGTGTGTGTAGCTTGAAACAATTCTCACAGATTTAACAATGTTTAACCAAAAGTGGGTCAGTTAACTAAACAAACTGTCCCTTAAAGAGTTACACATGTTCCCCCCCTCCCCCCCACTCAAAATTATTTAAGTAACAAAACTCCTGTGGTCCAACTTCCAGAAAGACCAAAAAAATTACACAGGCCATCATTTCACCTACAATTGCTTTTTGTGAAAAAATAAATCAAGCCAAGTATGCAGAGCACACTCAAATATCCTTAAAACAGCCCAGTATTCATGAGCTCACGCAGCAAGATCACTCTGCACCTCATGGGCCTCGCACAGTTCACATGGAAATCATCAGGATCTAATTAGAGACTCAGAGAAAGGAAATAAGACGAGTGTGGCGGAGCCGGCTGCAAAAGGGACTGTCACTAATGGTCACTCACGGCAACAAGGCTTCTTGTCTCGGGTCTGTCCTGCACCGTGACCCATGTCAGATCCCTCTTGTCCATCCACAATCAAGGCGCTTGTTTTCAATCCTTCCTTAGTGGAAAACGCCCTCTTGTCTAGTTTGACTTCCTCTCAAGTTTTTCGGGTCAGGAACATAAGGAAATAAAATTCATGCTCTGACTGCCGTTTCTTCCCCTTGCTCTTCCGCCTCCTGCCACGCCAGGAAATAGCATAAAGTTCTATCCTGTGGTCCGCCAATAGGACACAGGAAGTAGGGCCTTACAACCTGATGACTACTGATTACAAATGGGGAGAGATGAAACTGAAGCCCAATTACACTGGAACAGCACTGACACAAGGTCGGGCACAGAATTATCAAGAACAGTCACGACGTTGTGTGCGGTGCACCTTGATACCAGAACATACGGACACTGACACCTACTGCAGGTGTGCCTCCCGCATGACAAAGCAATCGAAACAGAAAGGGCACAAGAAGTCACGCAGCAAGAGAAAGCCGTTCTTGCCCTCCCATGTCTGAAGAATACCCATTTTCCCTCACTAGCAACCCAAATCGACTCCATTTGGTGAGTTGCTAAGAAAAGCATTCAACCTAAGACCAGAAGAGAACAATTTAAGACTGGGAGAGAAAAATAAATAGACAAACAAATAAGCAAATTAAATAAAGGCAGGAAAAAGACAAAGAGCCAAGTGAATGACAACAAATTCACACAAAGCTCCGCAGAGGGTACCAGCAAGCGTTAACCCTTAAAACCCAGAGTTTCACAGATATTCCCTGGGACTATGACGCTTGCTTAAGACTGAAGTCTTTAACACATGGAATCCTAAGCAGAACTAGACAGTAAAAGAGAAAAAGTAAAGATTTTATAATATTAGTATGTACTACTTATATAATAAAAATATTTATATTAACTTATGAAAATGGAAAAGAGAGATTACAAGTCCTAACTTTCAACATGACCTAAAATGTAAGTCACATTTGTACAAACTAACGTGGCTACAGCAAGAAGGCAAGGTAATTATGAAGTGATAGGAAATCAGACTATTTCTTCTAATTTAATCTCCTTTCAACAATGCTGAAGAGTAAGCTCGTGCAATGAAAAAAAATCAAACGTTACACATAAAGAAATGATACATATTGGAATGTAAATGGCGTTCAGAGAAAAGAAAAAAAGTTAAAAGCATTTATCATTTGTAGGGCCTGGGACAAGAAGATGTAAAATGCAAGAGAAAAGAGCTATGACATTTAGCAAGTATATATGAGTAGATTAAAAGGCATCATTTATTGCTTGGCTCAGCTAAATAAATAGTTCAAACTCTATTTTAAAGCAGAAAATACATTTCAGGTGTTTAATCTCAACAGGAAGACTCAGATGTGTATTAATTATTGCCACTACAAGATGAGTATACTAGAGTTTCATAAAATTCACATTAAAAAGAACATCAGCCAAGGTAATATTTCATAGGAATTAACTGGATTATTCTTAATTTCAGACTATTATAAAAAATATTAATTATGCATAGCATAAAATAAAAATACTAATAAACAGCTATTCTGGGTAATACGCTGGTCACACTTACCGTTTTCCACATAGGGATGAAAGGGCAGGACCAGGGCAAGGATGACTCTGCCTTGAGTTGGCTCCAAGACACTCCTAATATCTTTTAACAAAGTCAAGGGCTGATCACAGCGGTCCAGCAAATTCAAGCAGCTGATGACATCATACTGGAAGCCTGTATTCTGCCATTCATTTATGCCAAGTACTCTGGAGAAAACAGAAAGAGCTGGATTAATACAACCTCCTTTAAAGAGAATTCTTTCAAATGATTCAAGTGATGCCACTTGAAATTCTGAATGTTGTCTACTAAAAAAGCAAATCCAAAATGGCACTATTTATATTTAGAGCAATAAGACAGGCCAGAGATTATATTAACAACCACATAACAACTATATTTCTTAAATTTCGCATTTCACTTACTTGTAAATCTCAAAGTATATAAACACTTCTTTCATAAACACTAGTTGCCATATTTTAATAAATATGAGTATATAAGTAATAAAAATGGTATGAAACTAGGACATGAGTCAATAAATCAGCTGTTTTTTTAATATTCATTCTAATTTAATAATAAAAGACGTAACATATTTATGTTTTCGTGTCCTGTTGTTTTATGCTATAGAGTCAATTCCAACCATAATGACCCGGTCAACAAAAACAAGCTCATTGCCACCAAGTCCATTTTCACTCATCGTGACCTTAGGGGACAGTATAAAACGGTTTCTGGGTTTCCAAGACTACAAATAAAAACTGAAATAACAACATTACAATTCAGCAATTTAAACATTCAAAAGAGGTGTTCAGTCATCACTACAATCAAATTTAGAACACTGTATTCATTCTTGTACCCATTATTATTAGCTCCCCCCAACGGCCCCTGCCATAACCCTAAGGAACTATTAATCTAGTTAAAATCTCTACAGATTTACCTATCCTGGATTTCATTTAAGAAAATCATACACCATCACCACCACCTACCTACCCACCACCAAAAAAACCCAACAACAAAAACACAGAAAAACCTTAATCCAAAAGAAAGCAGGATAGAAACTAAAACGAATTAAAAATTGGTCAAAAGGGAAAACAAATGACAATATGTTAAATTTTAACCTAACTTACTGCAATAATCCACTTTCCAATACAGTTTGTCTGAGGATAAGATTCTTTATATACCTGGTCAATAGTCCAAGGGAATTCAACAAATGCTTAAGCCAAGTGAGAACAGTGGGCGTGCACTGTTATCCACAGCCTTCTCTACCCAGGTGATCAAAATTTACACTCTAATACAATTCCCTCCTCCGATCTTGGGTTTTATTATTTACAATCTTTGGATCACATGAGCTGGTGTGTTCCTCCTATTCTAACTTAGCGAACAGTAGAAGGTCTCATCTTTCTCCTTGGGGCTGGCTAGTGGTTTCTAACTGCTGACCTTGTGATTAGCGGCCCAACTAGTAACCCACTATATCACCAGGGCTCCTCGTGACTCTATAAAACTGGCCTGTGGTGTTTCCTAAACTGCAATCTTCACAGAAGCAGATAGCCAGGTTTTTTCTCCCACAATTTCCTGACCCTCTCTAGTCCTAGGTTCTTTCTATCCTCAAGAATGGCTGAGGTTGGTATAAGATCATTTACAGGTTAATCTCATCTGAAGAGGTATTAGGAAAAGAAAGCAAAGGATAACCAAAGGCATGGTTAAAATGCCACTTGCAGGTCTCCATCTCATAAAAGGAAAAACAATTCTAACACTTCACAGTGTTTTTGACCACAGAAAGGGCAGTTCTTATAACAGAGCCTTTGTTAGCTACTAAGGCGATTCTGTAAAGTAACTGACTGCTGTAGGCTACAAAGCAGAATGTAGTCGGTGAGACCTGCTATGACAGATGAGGTAGAAGAAACACAAAGAAGGTCTCTGGTAAACAAGTCTTTGGTAATGCTGAGCAGACACAGTGGAGGTTATTTTAGAAAAAGTCTAGAAGCAGCATGAGGGCTGTTTCAAAAGTTCATTTGCATAATGATATTTTATAGCACTTTAAAACAGTGGAATAAAAAGGAAAACAAATCACTCTTATTTCCACCTTCAATTTTTTGTTGTTGTTGCTAAAACAATGTAACAAATTCAGTCAGCTATCACTGCTATATTAGGTGTTTTACTGCACTAAATATTGCTCAAAACAAGTTGTTGTTATTGTGTGCCATTAAGTAGATTCCAATTCACAGTGACTCTTTAAGACAAGAGTTCAACTCCCTCACTGAGTCTTCTAGGTTACAATCTTCATGGGAGCAAACGGTCAGGCCTTTTCTCCCTGAAGGACTAAAATAGCGAGTGGGTTTGAACCACCAACCTATAACTTTAGCAACTACCAGGACTCCTTCCATGGACAATTTGAGATGATGAATTGGGGAAACAAGGAGGTGTGTACTTGACTGGGAAAAAAACACAAACTGAGGCCTCCCAGCACTGAAGCAGCCGGCAAACCCAAGGGCTGTGAGTTGATGCCAGTGGAGAGAAACATTTCAGCAAGAGCGAGGGAGCAAGAAAGGCTGTCCAACTCGAAGAGACTGTAATCCGTCAAGTGTGCATGTGGAAATTATTGAACTGGTCTATGCTCTGCTGTCTATATTCTCGACAACAAAAAATAAATTATTTTTTAAGATAAAAGGAGAAAACAAAGAAGGTGTTAACACAAGAACTGAATTCTTCCACTACAATATTCTATTTTTCTCTAAGAAAGATCTCAAACCTGTATCAGTAATAAAGTTATTTCAGAAGTATATTAAAGATTCTTGATCTCTCGTATCAAAATATAGACTAATATACAAAATTCTATTGTGATTAGCCATATACAATCTGTCTAGGAATTCAATTGCAAACTCCTTCCCGCTTCCTCTCAGCATCTTGCCTGCAGTTTCTTCCACCATCACTCCAGCACTGGACAATAGAAACTCATTTTAACATCCATTTTTAACAATAAACAGACTAACTAAACATGCTGCAAAATGTTTTCTTGCCAAAAGAGAATAATTTCTACATTATATTATCATTTAAATTGTGGGATTGGTACAAAAATCAAGATTTATCTGAGGCTTCCAAAAAATACTATTTCTAACCCTAAAAGTAGAGTGGCTCAAGAAAATAAATGAAGTTTTCCTCCTACTATATTTTAAAACACTTTTTCCTTAATGATTGTTTTTCCTAAATTCTGAAGTCAAAAAAACAGAAGGCCAACAACATAAAGAAAAGTTACCATTTTGTTTGAAAAAAAAAAATCAAAGCAACAATCTTAAATTTCATACTTAAGGGGTTCTGGCTTCCACGGCATCTTTCCAGAAGAGGAAAACTCTGGTCATCTTCTGTTTAGTCAACTGCTTACGCCACCCAGAGGCTTTATTAAACAACCAGTTGCTCATAGGCACAGATACCGAAGAAGAAACAAAACACTGCGACCATCAAAAAGAAGTTAAAAAAAGGTGGAATGACACTGAAAGCTTGCCCTGAACATCCCTAATAGAGATGCTGTGGCTGCCTTACGGGCTGTTGCGTCGTTTTCGAATCACAGCAACCCTCTGTGAAGAAGTAGACCTGACCCCAGAGGGTTTTCCAGGCTGACACCTGTTACAGAAGCAGATCTAATGTCAAGCTCTCCCTCGGAGACACTGGGCAGGTTCGCACCGCCAACCTTTTAGGTAGCAGCTGAGCACTTAACTAACATCATTAACAACAACCAAAACGCCAACCTCCCTGTCATCTAGTCAAAGCTGACTCACAGTGACCATTAAGGCTCTATATATTATTAAAAGATCATTTTATTGGAGGCTCTTACAACAATCCACACATCAATTATATCAAGCATCTTTGTACATATGTTGCCATCGTTATTTTCTAAACATTTACTTTCTATTTGAGCCCTTGGTTATCAGCTCCTCTTTTTCCCTCCCTCCCCCTCCTCCCACCCTTGTGACCCCTTGATAAATTATAAATCAGTATTATTTTCATATCTTCCAACTGCTGTCTCCCTTCCCCCATGGTTTCTGTTGTTGGTCCCCATGGGGGGGTAAGTTGGGGGGGGTTATGTGTTGATCACTGTGATTTGTTCCCCCTTCTTCCTTCCCCCCCCCCATTAAAGCTCTTTAATAAGATCCCCCACAAAACTCAAATTCACTACCATTGAGTTGGTTCCAACTCATAGCAACCCTGTAAGGCAGGGTAGAACTGCCTCTGTGAATTTCTGCAACTATAAGTTTTTACGGAAGAAAAGCCCTATCTTTCTCCCACAGAGCAACTGGTGGTTCCAAACTGCTGACCACTACACCACCAGGGTTCCTTATCTTTAATAAGATACTTCCTCATTAAAATCTCAGACCAAAAAAAAATCTCAAACCACACCAGTGATCACAAGTTTGCCACTTTTTATAAAACAATAAAAACCATGTTTTATTCATGCTAATGGAAAAGGTGTCACCAGTAAAAATGTCTCATCTAACTCGAATTACAAAAGAATTTGGGCAGAAAAAAAGAATTTGGGCATATATCCCCTATGTGCTGTATAGAAAGGAAAAAATTAAATTATGCATTTTATATGGTGGATAAATTTACTAGGTTATGTATCATGTCAACTCCAAATTATGAAGGGGCTTCAAAAATTCACAGAAAAATTCCGTTTTTCCACAAAGTCTTTGAAGCCCCTTCATATTTAAACTATAAATTCAAACATCTGGTGTCTCATTGAAAATTCCATTTAGGCATTTAGTCTCAAGAGCTCTGCTGGCAAACAATGAAAGAAAGGGGCGTAGAGTACATCATTTACCCCACCTTCTTCCCAGACTCATTTCAAAGGAATCATAAGAATTTGGAATGATTTAAAGCTATTGCCATAAAAAAAAGTCAAAACATTCTGAGTTTTGAAATGGTGAATTAATTTCTAATCAAAGGAATACATTGCAATTATCACCACAAAGACTCAGCAGGGTCTAACCTGAGACACAGGACTAGAGCTAGAAGGGATCTCAGGAATCTCTCAATTCAACCTCACACCCATAGGGAAGTCTCCCCTCCTGTAGCCTCGCTAACTTAAACATTGACAATGAAAAGGAGAGTTCAGTGGTTAGTTAGATCACGTTCGCTTACCTGTGACTCAGCTTCTGGCACCTAACTATGCCTGTTTATACACTTTTTCCTTCCATTTAAAAGCCCAGTAATCTATCTATCCTTCCACCCACCTCCCATTTGGTCTTCTTTTCTCCAGGCTGTAAATTGCCATGTTTTGCCAATGCTTAATCCAATTTTGCTCTGAAAGGTTAGTCTGTGTTAGTGGAAAAACCTCTGTAGATAGAAAAGTTGAGTGAGTACACAATTCTTGTTCCCTTCTCTTTAAGCTAAGCACCAACCTTCCAATTATAGAGAAAGAAGCCAACTTCACTCTACCTCTCCATTCTACACTCAGCGTCTCTTCCCCATTCAAGAGAATCCATACTGAACAAAGAGGCTCTCACCTCAGTCTGTCAAGTACGAGGTCTTAACCAAGATTTAAGAATGCCAACTTATGACCAGCAACCAAATTCCTACACCTAATCCCCCTTGCCCACATTCTCTCCTTTTATTCTTGACATACCAAGAGCTCTACTCCAGAAAAAATATTGCCAAGGACTATTCCACTACATTTCTAGTTAAATGTGATCTAGACAGAGTTCCATTGATTCCTAATGGTGGAAGTGAAAATTGTGTATTTTAAATACTATAGCTTCAAGATGAAACACAACTAAAACCAAGAAATGTATCCCAAACTAAAACATATACCTGTATTTCTTTTTCTGAAGCTGCCATATCATAGTTTCAGATAGCTCCGTGGCATAAATTTCTTCAAAATGAGGGCTCATGATTTTGGTGACTTCTCCATCACCAGCACCTAAATCAAGAAGTCTGTGGGTTTTCCAGTCTGGATTAATTTTAAGCAGTCTCTGAAATTGATCTGGTGAAAACACAAACATTGATCCTCTTCCTAGCAACCTGGGAGGGAAGGGGGCAAAAAAAAGACACAAATGAAAGCATCTATATAAATTAACCTCCCCAGCCCCACCACACGCACAGTGTAGTAACTCAGCACCAACGGCCTTGTGAACTGATAGACTCTTATTAATGATGACAGAGTCAAATTAGTAATAGAGGAACATCATTCCAGTTGTCATTGTTTGGGGTTGGAGATAATAGCCCAAAGGGGTATTGGAAATAAGGAAATAAAGATAGAAAAGAGAAAGGATGAGAGGAAAAGAGAAAAGAAGAGAAGTGTCTAAGAAATCAAAGGCTAAATGTGAAAGGAGAAGAATTTAAGTTAAACTAGAAATAAAAGGCACAAGGAGTCACAGAAAACATGTATGCTGGTAAAACATGTATATCAGACTGGCTGGCAGAAAAGCAGACAACAGTAGGCAAAGAAATCAAACAAAAAACCCATTTGGAATATAAAACTAAAATGGGTGAGAAAAATCACTCTAGTGTATCTGATTTTTTAAGAGAAATGAGGGGTATGAAGCAAAGAGGGGTCTTGTGATAGCAGTTAAGATGATTTAAAGAAGACCCATCCTCGTGTTATTTGCCACTGTAGATGTGTTATACAAATGGGTGGGTCCTAATAGTTCTAAAGGTCCTTAAAACATAGTCATGTCTTTGGGGAAAAAGAGGCTGAGAGAAAGCTCAAGTGCAGATCTACAAGAAGCCTCAGAAAGATCATCAGTCAGGCTCGGTCTCACGAAGCATTGCAACCTTCTATTTAGGACTTGCTTCCTCAAATCTCATTTTTTCTAAAGGAAGCATTCTCAAGCTTCCTCTAGGCCAATGGTTTTCAGTGCTGCAACCCTTAATACAGTTCCTCATGTTGTGGTGAACCCCAATCATAAAATTATTTTCATTGCTACTTCATAACTGTAATTTTGCTACTGTTGTGAATCAAGCGACCCCTGTGAAAGGGTCGTTCAAGGCCCAAAGGGGTCGCAACCCACAGGTTGAGAACCACAGCTCCAGGCAGTTTTGTTTAAATGATATGTTCAAAGAGCTGGTCTTCCTGAGATGAGGTTGGGAGTCTGGGAGCCCCGGCCAGTCCACATCTAGGCCTTTCTTTACAGGGAAACAGAACTGCCTCCTTAGACTCTGGAAGACAGTTTGAAAACCACTGTTCTGGGACTTACTGCCATTGAGTCAATTTCAACTCACAACAGCCCAGTAAGACAGGATATTACTGTCCCTGGGGAGTTCTGAGACTGTACCTATTTACGAGAGGAGAAAGCTTCATTTTTCTCCCAAGGAGCAGCTGGTGGTTTAGAACCATTCACTTTATGGTTAGCAGCCCAACACTACACCAACAGGACACCTTACTATATTGCTCTTTTTTGGAAGGAACCACAAAGTACAATACGTTTGCTGCACAGTGACTTCAAAGTCCAGGCAACATAGTACTTCTAGAAAGACCAGATTGGGTGGGGGGCAGGATGGAGTTCCTCATGAACTTGTTACAAATTCTCCCTCCTCTTGTCATATCCTGGCCATAGAATGATTTGACCAAGTCTAATAATATATTTATGTATCATCTTGTGGTACTCCTGGTAAAACCAGATTTGGGGGGCGTGGGGGCGTCTGAGATGGACAGATATGATGCTGTCTTCCACAACTGCTTATCAGAGAAAACCACAGCTCTTAAAAGTGGATTAATACAAAAGTAGCTTAAAATTTAACAACTATCATTTGATCTTCCCTTGGATCCATTTTTAATTTGTTCAAGTTTTTTAATCTTTTCAACTGAGGTTTTTCTGCTTTATTTTGCTGTTATTGGCTTTTTGTTGTTGGGTTTGGGCTTTTGTTTGTTATCTTTTTTCCGTATACGTACTCTAAGATGGGTCAATGTATAGCGATACTAACTGAATGAATGGTTCCTTATGGCTATGGCAGGGGAGCTTGGGGGGACATGGGGAGCTAATAACAAAGAGTACAAGAAAGAAGAAAATGTTCTAAATCTCATTGTGGTAATGATTACACAACTCTTTAATATGACTGAACTACTGAATTGT